CTATCATAAAGTATAAAACAATTTGAGTCGATTAATGTTTTATTAAATATACCAATTTCAATATTACCCTTCCCCTCTTTATAATTAATTTTTATCTTTTTTTAATATATTAAATGATATGTATTTTTGAAAGTTTATATTTTTATTTTAAAAAGATAAGGTTGTTAAATATATTTAATGAAATTTATTGATATATAAAATTTTATTTAAAAATATTTTATAATTTAAAACGAATTGAGTATTATCTAAAGCAAAAAACTGTTGTAGTGAAGGTAAAAAAATTATATCAATGTGAAGTGGGCTCAGGGTACCAAATGCTTCTCAGGAAAAAGAGAAAAAAAAAAAAAAAGTGAACGGGACGTTGTGATGCACGTGAACAAAATCAAATTTTTCTTTCCTTTTTATTTATTTATTTATTTTGAAAGGAAAGGACTAATGGTCATGGACCCGGAGTTCTAATTTTGTGCAAGTAGCACTGTCGGTTTGAATGGCAAATAAAAAAAAAAAATGTCGGTTTGAGCAACTTGTCACACCGCGTGAACTTGCATGCTTGCAAGTAGTAATATTAAAATACTAAATTGTTTACTTAAAAGCATAAAAGGGTTGAAATTAAAGAGCATATATAAAAATGATGTAACACTTTAGTTATTGTTTGGTTGGGAAAAAGGAGGGGAGGGAAGCCTTGTTTGGTTTGAAAATTTTTTTCCTTTCTTTTAAATTGAGGAGATTCAGAGGAAAGCCGTATAATTTTATTGCACAATAATTAATATGTCATTTCTTTTAATCATTACTCTTTGTTTTTTTTAAAAACAAGTTTAGCAATGACGGATTTTAAAGCCATATATTCCATTGATTCTCCAATGTGGAGGATATCGCCATAATCTCTGGTTTTTCATCACATCGTTTTCTTCACTACAAATTTTCCTCTTATTGCTTCCATATTGACCTTTCTACTTCCCCATTATTGTTCATCCATCATTTTCTTGCTATTACACGTGTCTTTCTAAGTTCGCTTACTGTTTATCCATGGTGTTTGCTTGCTGAGTTTGAATTTCGTCATTGTAAATAACTAACACACATGTCTGACTATTTCACCATTAAATAAAAGATAAAATTATGTGTGTATATTGCAAGTAATAATTATGTATTGTAATTATAATCATATATATTTAACAATAATAATTATATATTTATAATTACATGTTAAGAACATTCATAACTATATTTTATTAAAAAAAATTTTAATAAGATATGGATAAAGTTGTTTATATAAAATTATTTTTTCTCTCCTCTCCTCCTCTAAAACCAAACAAAGCCTAAGAATATAAAATGATTTGTTCTTGATTGATTGATACGCTCCTAAACACAAGAGCATCTTGTTTTATTAAAATAGATAAATTAATTAATTAAAGGTTTGGTTTGGTATGAGATATTGGAATACACCCAAATGAGTGTAGTACAATAAGTTCACTTTTTGAGTTGAATGCTGATTTCTGCAACTGGAATTGTTAATTTAATTACAAGGCGATATGCAATACTGCATGCATGCCTGTTCTAGACTTAAATTCAAAACACGGAAGATTGACAAAATCCTAAAACATAATTAAAAAAAAAACAGTAAATTTTTTATTTGATTTCTTTTATGTAATTTATTGTTGGCCTTCTTAACAATTACGTAAAAATATCCTCGCTAAACGCCTAAACCTTGAGTTTTATGCGTGAGTCTGAAAGACCCATTGTTCTCGATTTTTGTATGCCATATTGCAGTTGATTCTATATATTTATATATAAAATATAAAATATAAAGTAAATGGTTCTGGGTCTATGAATTGAAAATATTGAACAAAGAATGCAGAAAATGGCATGCGATGAGTCTGAGTCAAGTCAGAGGAGAGTGACAAATAGGTCCAAGGACCAGTTAATTTAAATGAAGTCTTAAGTATTAAATTTTAAGAATTTTAAAATTTGGCTCTCAATTTTATAAATTTATTATGATAAATTTATAATTTATTTTTAAATTTTAATATAGTTGAAGAATAAATAAATTTATTTTCCTGTTAAATTTTGCAACACATGTTATAAATTCATCATAATGAAGTTATAAAATTGAGAATTGAATTTATAAATTTCTAAAATTTAACACTCAATATTTAATTTAAATTAATTAATCCCGTTGAAATATTCTCCCATAAAGTCAACCTTGCAGGTTTCAATTTTTTTTAATGATTGCATGATGTTATTTTATAATTAATAGGACGAGAAGCAGTTTTGAAGTATGATTTATGAAAGCTTGTGAGGTGAGAATATCGTAAACAAGAAAATAAATAAATAGTAATAATAGTAATAGGAGACACATATATAAAAAGAAATTTATGTGTAATAAACATAGTGGTTGAGTATGATTTTCATTAAACAAGGGGTTGGAATTTTACGAACAGGAAAAATTACGAGGAGAGAATTACCCCAATTGAATGAATAGTACTCAAAATTAATGCGATGATACTAAATATCAAATGAATGAAGGGAATGGATAAGGCAAAAATGGTGGCGGATGGAACCAAAACTAAACGCTACAAAACTGTGAGTCAAACTGCCAACAAAGCAAAAGTCCATTTGAATTTGACCTTTCGGGAGCACAAGTATAATATGCTATGCTATCTACTTCTTTTTGCTTTGACCACTTTGGTCACCTTGGAAGGTCCATGGGTAAATGTAAGAAAGGAGCACAATCTCGTTGGCTCTATTAGCTTAAATCCCACAAAACTTGAAAGTGGATTCCTGGTCATACACTTTTATTTTCTTGTTTCTCGTTGACAGATTTCTCAATGATATTGGGTTTTAGCCGTGTTGACCTCATTGGCCACCGGAAAATTATCAATTGATGAATTAATTTGTTGTGAAAGCACTTGCTCCTTTTTGAAGTGCATTTCTATTGCAAATATTTGAAAATTAACTCAACTCATGCTTTTATTTTTTTTATTTTTTGTGTGTTTTTTTTTTTACCACAAACACAAGACATTGTTAGCTGTCGCCAGCCTTTTTGACAAGTAGAAGCTTATAAGACGCTGATCCAAGGATGACAAGACAAGACTTGCTTCTCTTCTTATAAAAATACATTTGAATGCAATTCAGTATTTATAATTTTTTAATTCAATAAACTATAAGAACTGAGTTGTATTAAATTAAGATCCAAGAATTAAATCAGTTGAGAAAAAATTTAGACTGAGTTATTTTTTAAAAAAAGTTATCGCATTGTTCATCAGTTTCATTAATTTATACGGCTTGCTTGCCGAATATAATGATTTTACCACGTCTACGTTCAAATCCAGAATTCATTACTTAACTAAATTTCACACGTCCTTGAGTTTGAGGTGTGTCAACTATATCATCATTACTGCAGTTTGGATCTTGAAGAGATCAAGTGAAGAGAAAGAAAATCACCAGGGTTATTCATTGAGATAATTGATGCATTATCAATCTAAAATAATTCAAATTATTAATCAATATTGAAATTATATTCTTAAAAATACAAACTCTAATTAAGTAGCAGTCCTCCGTAGGGAGAACATCTTTTGATTTTGATGCTTATCTTTAATATGGCTCTTCCAGTTATGATTTAAAATTTTTTATATTTTAATAAATACAGAATTTAAAATAAATGTATTCTATAACTGTCACTCTTCAAAGAAAATAAATTTATCATTGAAAAAGTTATAGATTAAGAATTTTAAATGTAGACCATCAAAATTATATTTTTAATTGCAGACCATCAACATCAATTTTTTTTTTTTTAAATAAAGGTTTCACATTCAACACGCGCATTGGAGGTAGTGTTTACCATGGCCCGCACCTACGGAGAAAGTTTTAGCGATCTGAATTCTGAAGGAGCAGCGTCGGTGGGGAAGAGTAAGGGAGAAAGAAGCAAGAAGGGCATCGTACGTTGGAGGATTATGTTTCCATGGGTTAGACAACAGAATTTAATGCCGCTCCATATGGCCATGAAGAATCAACTATCGATTTCGCTTCATCCATGACATGGCCCATTGTGAATTTTCCATCCAACTGCGCGCGTGCGTGCGTGCGTGCGTGCGTGTGTTTGTGTATTTATTTTAACACTGCAACGACAGAACCAGCCTTTAATCTAAAACAAAATAAACAAACTTTACACTTATTAAATTAAAATATACATTTAATTTTTTAACTTTATATAACATTTTATTTTAATCCCTTAACTTTATAAAATATTTTTTAAAATTTTTTTAATTTTTTACTTTTATTTCAATAAATTTTTAAATATTAACAAAAAATTCTTAAATATTGACATATTAAGTTTAACTTTTTTAAATAATAGTAATCGATACAAAAAAACTATTTAAAATTGATAATATTAAGGTTATAGGATTAAAAATATATTCCTCCATTTTAAATTATAAAACACTTTTAAATAAAATCTCACATAATAAATTTTATTAAATACATTTAATAACCTTATCTTTTCAAAATAAAAATATAAACTTCCCAAAATACCTATTGTTTAATATATTAAAAAAAAGAATAAAAATTAATTATAGAAAAAAAAGATAAAATTAAAATAAACCTATTTAATGAAACATTAATCTTTTTAAAAAATTTATATTCTAAAACGTCAAATCTTTCACAAAAGTATCTTATAATTTAAGAGGAAAAGAATACTTTACAAAATTAAAAGATCAAATTAAAACCTTATATAAAGTTAAAGAATTAAAACCATACTTTAACCTTAAAAATATTAGTTATAATTTTGAAAATAAAAAAAATCATTTCTACCTTCCTTTGTAATTAATAATCATAATTAATTATTGTTTAAACATTCAAATAACAATAAATAAGGGGTAAAATTAAAGAAAAAAACATTAATTACTCTGACCTTGTCTTATATTTTGGAAGAGAAAACTTTTGAACTTCATCGTATATTAAAAACTGGAATAGTATTCTTAAAATAACAGGATTTTTTTCCTTGGTTTCACTCACAACATATATTTCATTAATTGAAAGAAAAATCCGGATGTCACTATGCTAACCAAAAAGGAAAAAAGAATCAGAGGGAAGGGAGATCGGAGTTATACAACCACAGGAAGGCACATTAAAGTTCCTAGAATTCACTAAACACTGATCTAAAAGTCATAGGTAGGAACATGGGAAAGTGGGGAGACACTGGAGCAGAAGAAAAAGAATATACTGGTCACTTAGCATGTGACTGGAAAATCTCACTTGTTCCCCCTGAAATACATGTAGACTTTCTGCACAAACAAAACAAGAAGACAAACAAAATCATCATGAATATTTGCAAACATGTTTTCTTAACAATATCTAAGCAAATCAAGGTGCTGAGAGTGCAGAAGGCAAATAAACGTCACACTTTAGTATCCTAACAACCTATCAGACAAATACCATTGAAAGAAGACGCTAGTTTGAAACATCCAAACCATCCTTCTAGGGGTACTAAATTGCTCGCTTGAGTAAAATCCAAAGTGCAATTAAGCCTAGAATACAAAATAGAGGTGAAGGTTGCTGCAAGTTATAGTAATTTGTTTCAATCCAGTGTTAATATACGTATGTATTGTTTTTATCCCATAACCCCTTGCGCAACTACGATTCTTCCGACTTCAATTACAGCCTCAGTCCTGAAGAAAATCAACTATAATTGTCAGTATACCATGATAAATTATATTACAGTTCTTCTCCTTTTGCAAACACAGCTAAGATGTATTTCAATACTTGGCAAAGTTTTTAATCTCGATCACAAATAAAGCCTTCATATGGAGTAATAATACCTCAGCACTCTAACCAAAGTGAACAGGTCCTTGCTTGTTTAGTCATAATTCTAAAGCATCTCTCTACGGTTCTAAACACTTGAACCTCTCCTCGACATATGAGTCCATTCATCCAAGTATTTTTTATAACCAGAACATCTGGGCTGAAATCCTAGTTTAAAGCATGCTAACATTTACTTCAGTCCACGTACTTATCTACTCAGTATCCAGGAAAAAAAAAAATATTAGCCTACTATTTAACATCAATGATCTATCAGCCGCAAGTTTCAACCACATCAAGGTATTACTGCCCTAGAGATTGACGAAGAGGCAGAGAGAGGGAGAGGAAGATATACTGATGAAAAATGAGATTACAATATTAACACAATTACCATTTGTCCGAAAACATGAAACAAGATAAAATGGGCAATGCAAAACCAATGCAAATGTTCGGCTCCTCACCTGAACCACCCACAAGCTTAGTAGAGTCTCCAAGCAAAACAAGCCAAATCCAACCAAATAGAATATCTGCAATAATACCGATCAAAATTGACAGAAACAAATGTGAAAGTAAAACCTTATTTCTTTATACGGTACTTACGGTTTTATTATTACTAACTTAACCAAATCAATAGACTATCTATACTCCATATACCAAAAATAGGAAAAATATGATTTTTTTCATTACATCACCCCATTAACTGAATCAATTACTGGTCTTTCACAATCCTAATCCCAACATTATAAGTTACCTTACATTCTATTCAAGGGCCAAGTCACCTGTCTTCTAGAATAGAATGACTGTGCCAGTTCCATAATAGAACAAAGTCAAAATTTGTCCTAACCCCTAATTTTCTGAAGGAAGATTCTAGGATTCTTGCGTTGGTTGATCTCATGTGGTTTAGTGCTGTGATCTTTTTAGGAAACAGATTTAGTGATTCAAGAGTATAGGATTTGTAACCTAGGCATTGATTTATCCATGATGCACAGATATCTGCAAGAATATCAATCAAAATTGGCACAAACAGAAGTGGTGGAACTTATTTTCCATCAGAACTTCAGCATACGATAAAGTAGGGAACTTTTTCTCTGCTTTGCTATATCACAGTTTAATACGAAAAAATATCTTGGAGGTTCTATCAAAAGGCTAACAGCCTTCATGACTTTTCAATTTTAAAACATAAAAGTAATAGCTTATGCTTATTTTGACCAATGTCCCCATTGGTAAGTGCACCTAAGTTGTCTCAGTATAATTTTCAAGATTAACGCATCAGATAGGAACAAGCTTCCCCTCATGTCGTGCAATATCTTTGAACAGCAATAAACATGTAGATAAGATTAGTTCAAATGACGCAACAAATACAACGTACCCCAACGAATACATGGTCTGAGAAGACATCAATTGCGGCAAGAATACCCCTGAAATTTTGAAAGCATTCAATATAAACAGAAAAGGAATATATGCTGCTATAATATGTTACACATAAATAAATAGAAGGGTGCCCATAAGATAATACCACAAAGTGACATTCGAATTCATTTAAATTTTAGCAGCAAATACTTTAAAGTGTTTTTAAAATCAATCAATATTATATATCAAAGTTGCAGCAGTTCCCTTACACCTTAACAAAATTAATTATTAGAATATGGCAGTACCAGCTCATGCAGTCCCATAAGGTGGCATTTCTTAAGTGAACAATTAAGCTGGATACTTCTAATTACCAACGTCCATCATCATAATCCACCAACATGATTTAGGATTTGATCCCACATACCCCCCCCAGGGGGGGGCGGGGATTTTTTTTTTTTTTTTCCTTGGCCTTTTGAGGCATACTTCATTACGAAATTGCAATCAATCAGATTAAGTATTTAACAACTCCCAACTTCAATAGAGCAAACTTGGAAATAGGATTTGTAAATGGTAGAATAGAACTTACGTCAATGACTTTCCATGAAAAACAACCGGAGGAGCAATAGCAGCAAAGACACAAAACGCAATATGCAGCTGCATCATGCCAAGGCAATTAAGAGAAGGATTAATACATTACCCACTCACTAGTTTGCCAGCAATAAGTAATAGATTCACATACCATGTAAATCAGGAAAAACCAACCAAACTTGAATGCACTATCTGTCCTGCATATCAGAAAGAATCATGCCATCAACATGCAGTATTCTTGTTCTATAAGTTAAAGCCACTGCTATACATGCTTTGCATGTTGAATATACACAGACTACTGCGTAAGGCCTTTTCATATTTTTCTTTACAGCTTTACAAGTTTCATCATACATAATGAGTGGTTGTAAATCCATTACTATTCTCTCCACCTGTTACTATAGGGGAAAGAGGTAGCACTAGACAAATAGTAGCCCTAAATCCTTGACGCTTTTACTAAGTTAAAATGATAGTAAAGAAAAGGAAGCAATACTAGAGCAGTGCAGTTTACCTCACGGCATTATAGAGGGGCCTATACCAAAGCACGTACGACATGGGAACTCCAAGTAAAGTGTAGATCACAGCAAGGAAAAAAATTTTAACCCCTGCACATTGTAAAACACTAACCTAAGGATCCAAATCACAACACAAACCAGAGGGTAGCAAGAACCCAAATACAGTAAAAACATTGAGAGGAAGAAAGTAAGCTCACCACCGCCTCTAATCCAACATACAGTCACAGCAACTACATTAAAAACCAGGCAGAGAACAATTCCTGAAACAAATCATTAAATAATCAGTAAAAAGATCAAAATGATAGAAAAATCGTATAGTGGAGTATTATTGAGGAATTTATAACTCTAATATGTAATGAGTGAAAAGTATAAACAAACAGAAGGACCAGAAAAACAAGATGAAATGACAAGGGAAGTTTCGAAGTGGAAAAAACTGTATCATTGGACAGCACAAACGATTATTAAATGGAAAAGGAGAACCTGGAACAATTTATCAGAAATACAGACGCACATTGCAAATGATATGTTACCCAGACAACTAGTTAAAGATAAAATTCAGGGACACGATTCAAACATAATTGCAACTAACAGTTTCATGAACTAGCATATCATTGGCAATGGAAATACTAATTATTAAGTCCCCATACCTAACCAACTTGCAAAGGCCAGATATTGCATCCTTTGAGCATGAGCCGGTATCTCATTGGCAATATCATGATGAATGATTGGGAAAAATGGAGGCCAATTCTTATCATGAGCAGGAACACCAGCTGATAAGCATATTTTGGAAGGAACAGTGAACTAAAATAAGCTATTGACTCAGCAATCAACACAATTTCTGAAAAGCAACAAGACAGTTAATTGAGAATAATTGAGAAGGTTGTGTCATAGTCTTATCAGTAACCTTGAGAAAGAGCTTCTTCTCTCCTTTTTATATCCTGCAGAAACATTTCAAAATAGTCAAGAACTTAGTCTTTTTTTCTTTTTTCTTTTTTTTGGAGCAGCAAGGAAGTAGCTGTATTTAAATGATACCAACATATACAAAGGGAACAGCTGAATGTAAGGAAAAAGACAATGGAGGCAATAGACAATAAAATCAAAAAGATAAAAATGATATAATTATAAACCAAAAAAGAAACTCGCCTTTTCTTTCCTTTTCAGATCTGATTCCCAAGCTGCTAGTTCTTGCTCTTTTTTCCTAGTGTCCTATGAATGCACCGTAAGTTTTTCAAAAAAATAATAATAATAGGGGGGGGGGACGTATAGATCAACCTCACAGGAAAAAAAGAGCCCTCAAAATTCTTCAAATTAGCGAACATAATTACATGTTTGTTATCTAATGGAATATCAACTGTAGCATCATGTCTTTGACCAAAACCCAATGGTTCAGATGCCAGTGGCGGAATACGTGATTTTGATCCAGGAGCAGATGCACCATTCTGCAATATTTTCCCAACAAAAAAACGTAAACCACATACCCTGACCATAAATAGACTAAATTATTCAATGCCAAGGGCTTCCAGAACACAGGAAAGGTGCTTAATACCATACCAAAACCAAACCTTTTTTGCCATTGAAAACGCATCTTATCAAAATTTCAAAAAATAGTAGCAATTCCCTGCCTGAAAATTATAGTAAAGGGTTGCATCATGTTTACTTGAATCGTATGTTCCTGGATAGCCTAATTTGATCAGTAAGCAACTTAACAAAGCTTTACACACTTTTCATCACCCATGTTACTCAAGTGAACAGCATCATTCTATCCTTTTAGGTATTATCATATCACTATTTATTTTAGGGACACACAAGACAGACAGCCATATTTTCTGTTTTAAATTATTGAGGTAAATTCCTGATTTCTATGCACATATTATCTGCACACATGTTTTCTCTTTCTTCTTTTGATAAAGCAGCCAGATTGAAAGGGTAGAAGAAACTATTAACATTGTCTTCATGATTTTTCATTGACTTCCATATCACAGCACACGTTTAGAACGACATCTCTTTTTCAAATTCACCATTAATATTAAAATAATAAAAATTACATATCTAAAATTATAAAATGTTGTAATGGAAACTAGCTATTTATCTCACTCGTCTTAAGATTTTATAAATGTATGGCCATTTTTGAAGGATTTATGACTGATGATTAACATGTCCCTATAAATTTTAAGCTTTTGTCTCTTCCTTTATGCTGTTTTAATACATGTAAAAATCTTAGTTAAGTAAATTGCACTCCATAATTTTATGAAATAGCATCAATTTTACAACAATGCCAGCAAGTCAACGTAAGTTTTGGTACAATAAGTGTAATGTATTCTACCATGATCTGTTCATATCTGCAGAACTAAGCGATGTCCTCTGTTATCCACCTTATAAACTTATCCATTAGTATGAAAACTTGTTTAGATGAAAATTTTGTCTTCCTATGTAGAATGATTGAAGGGAGAAAAAGGAATTGCAACCCCTCCTTTTTTCAATATTTATTTTTTCTGTAGTTTTTTTTTTAAAAAAAAAAATTAGACTGTCAGTGAATCTTTTTAGGGAAAAATACACTGGGGTACCTTGTGGTTTGGCCCAATTCCACTTTTTTACCATGTAGTATAATTCCCTCTTTTAGGAAGGAATGGAAACATGTACAATCAAAAGAATCTATGAGCATCAGGGATTTTGTAAAATAGCAAAAGCTAGAATTTTTTTTTAAAAAAAATTACAAATCAAACGGTATCTTTCCCTTTCTGATGGAATATATAGAAACACATCCCGATTCATAAATATACGATTTCCCTACAAAAAATATCCAACTTTCAATGCTTTGACAGCCAAACTCCTCCGTTGGCAAATTGAAATACCAAATCTGACAATTGACACACGCAACACAATATTTCTTGAGTTTTGCCACTAAAGGGAATCATTAATATTTTTTTTTTTTAACTACAACTATCTAGTATCTGTTATAGCCAACTATTCTAGATTCAAGCATTATAGGATCTAAATAGGAGTAGCTCTTCTATAGTGATTTTTTTTCCATTAATAAGGTTCACAACATCAACTTTATTTAAAAAAATATTAAGTCCATTCCACTTAACCCAACCATTGTTGGCAAATATTGTCCCCAATTCCGCCTTGAAGTACAAATTCCTAATTTAAAAAGTATTGAGTATTGAAATTCCTTCCTCAACTAATGGCAGTTCCAAATTCCAAAGTAGAGTTGGACCAAACCAAAGGATGCCATACCATATTTTATCCTCATTTTAATGAGGAAAGATTTTATGTTGATGCCAATAAATTTCCATGTTTGAGCATCAAATTAGAGACCCAAGTTGGGAAGACTCTGGTTTGACAGTCTAGATCTGCAGTGAATGTGAACTGCATTAGTTAAGGGAACCATTTCTTTCAGCCGCAACAATGGGGAACCCCTAATATTTCGTCCCTCTTTATTACTATCATGTACAAAGTCCCAGTCCATTCCAATTCCTGTAAATATTATCAATGATCAAATTGGAGCAGGATCACCACCATCTGCCCAACCACTGCTCAGTTGAGCAGCAAGGAATCAGTTTAAGCACCCCATAGTGCAGTATGTTCATTCACCCAAAAGGGTGGCTCCGAAAACGCCATAGTTTTGAAATCATATACATTATATTTACTGATCCGATACCTCTAGAACATCTACGTTGAGTTTTCCTTCACGGATTTCTGCAAAATCGGCGCACGCTCTTCCTCAACCATGTACACAGGCAAACAACAGAATGAAATTTTACCAAAGCCAAAGCAAGCGAAGCTCTGAAAATATAGCTATACTTTAACAGATTGAAATCAAAGAACCGGTTACCCAGTGATCTCTATAATTAGAAAAGAACAAAAACCCCGCCATAATTTCTAGCTGAAAGCTTCATAAAGACCAAAAAGCCACTTAGGCACTTCCTTCATGATTCACATACACCATAGAATCCCAACCTCAGTGATTGTAGTCCAGAGAAAATTGGATCTGAGATTTTTTTTTTTGAAAGAAAAAAGTACGTGTACATCAACAATTGGGAGAGAAGGGAGAGAAAAGTTACCGAGAATGGATTAACCTCTTCTTCTTCAAAAGGATTGGGATCGTGGTGGCGATTCATGGTCGTCCCTGGATTTTGCAGAGAAAATGTGCGAAAAGATTGCCAAATTCACCGACTCTAGAAGATATTTATGTTGTGGGGCGCACTGGTTCTCTCTTTGCATTTTTTAGCAAACCGGGATACCGTTTAAGAAGGGTTTAGTTTTTTTATACCCAAGACCCTCTCAAGAGAATTGATTATAAATAAAATAGTTACCAAGAAAAAAAAACAAGTCATATTTTATTTTAACAATAACCTGTTTCGCATTAATTTTTGTATATGATTAATTTTATTAGGAGAGGGTTAAATGTGATTTTTTCTTTTATATATATTAAAAAAAATTAATCATTTAATTCTTATAGTTTTAATCCAATTATAACTCAATCCCTCAACTTTAACTTGTTATAACTCAATCTTTAAAGTTTTGATTCAATTGTAAATCAGTTCTTTAACTTTGTCTTTTGCAATTTAGAACTTTGAAGTTTCAATTTATTAAATATTGATCTCTATATTTTAAAAAATAAAATTATAAAAATTAAAAATATATTAAAATTTTAATATTTATAATATTTATAAATATCAAAAGGGTTTAAAATTTTAAAATATTAGTAATAAATTTTAATCAGATAGAAAACTGAGTTGTTAGACCACTTAGTCTGGTATGGTCATATGAAATTATTTGAATATAATTATAATTGATTAATTATAATAATAAGTATTAAGTTGGTGGAAAAAATATTAAAGGGATATTATCATTTACTACTAGCTTTTAACATTTTTTTATAAATTTTATATTTATAAGTATTTTGTTATTTTAATTAAATTTATCATGTTGAAATAATAAATTGTTGCTATCATAGAGAAAAAAGAAAAAAAAACAAATCAAAGGAAGATAGTTAACTATTGAGACCATTCTCCCAATCATATGAATCAAATATAATCCTATTCAACTTTGGACTCAACTTGAACTAAAACAGACCAGGTTGTCTAATTCAATTATTTCTAGCTGAAAAAGTCAAATCTATAATAATTAAATAATTAATTTTTCTAAAAAAACTGTTTTAGATTTTTAGTTTTAATTAGCATAACAAATTTATTGCTTAGTTATATACTCCTCTTTATATATACATATATATAGTCCTTGATTCAAGAATATTGAAAAATGAAAGATGCAGGTCCATGAGTTAAGCCGGGTCCTTGGAAATAGTCTCAATGAGCAAGTCCTTTCTCTTTTCCACATTAGAAGTTGTACTCGAGATAGCTAGGGGTCAAGAGCGTGATTTGCTCGCATTACTCGAAACGGGTGCCGTTTAATTGATGAGTGCCGAGTGCTGATCCACATGGAAATTGAACCCCGTTTAATAAAGGGGTACCGGCTACCGAAATTGGATAATGCGATTTGCCCTTTGATTTTGCACTGATCTACATGTTAGGTCCTTCAGCCTCTTGCGGATACTTTGTTGCTTTCAGCAGCCTTTCACGGAGTTACCTTCATATTAGATTTTTTAATTCCATTTTCCACCTTGCGATACACTCAACTAGAGTATGCCCTGTGCGATGCACAGGAAAATGTCAGCATGTTTTTTTTAAAAAAAAAAATTAAAAGGATGTTACTGTTGTTTTTATTGTAGGACAAACAGTAACAAAGGATTGTATTTTACAAAAGAAATATTTATTTAGTTACTTAAATAATTTTTAAAACGATTTTCTTAAAATCAAGTTTGGTAAAAGGCCAAAAAACTGAAATTATTATTATTATTATTATTATTATTATGTAACTACTATTATTAATGATGATTGACATGGAAATTAAAACTCGACGTTTTTCTTTGAATGCGAAAACTCAACCATCTTCAAAACGCATGTCTTAATCAGTTAACTATCGAGGACGCTTGCAATGGTTAAGGTTCACGTTCGCTTTCTGGGACAGATAAATGATTTTTTTTTTTTTAAGGCGAGACTAGATCTTATATGTACATGGGTTTTAACCATGATATCGAAAATAGTTGCTGGTAAAAAAAAAAAAAGTGTCGAAAGTAGTTGTTTATTATGGTAAACAGAAAAAGAAAGTTGTTGGTAAAAGTGTGATTTACAAAAAAGGGAAGTCTTTTCTCCGGATCTTAATTAAATTAGTCTTGGGAGAAATGAAGTAAAGAAACATAGATTATTGAAAAATGACTGAAACATGATAGCAATTCTATGTTTTATATATTTTGCAGTTTAGAAATTGGTCTTTTTTCTTTTACCACACGTGGAAGAGGCAATAAGGTTTCAAATCTCACTTCAACACTTCTGGAGAGCCAAATTGCCGAGAATTCTTTAGTATATGTGTCGTTAAGAATAAACAGCAGAATTGCTGTGTGATGTATTGATAAAAACTAACATGTGTTCGAGTAGATTATTCACGTTAAAAAAACGCAAATTTATTAGTTACATGTTAGTTGGTCTATTCTTGATGCATCCCCAAATGATCACGTGAGCACAGATTTTTTTTTTTAATACATATATGCAATAACAATGCAGTCAGGATAGATATTGAGCGTGTATGTGATATATGGATTTAAATCCTCTAAAATTGGGATTGATAAATTTAGATGAAGTTTCCTTTTTTTAGAAGTATTTTCACTCATTTTATTATTTTTTATAAAATATAAAATATAACAATCCTAATTTTAAAGGATTTAAATTCATAATATATTATACACGCACCCACGTATGATGTTTATAGAGCGATCAGATTTTACTTTTATACTGCCTGTATCAGATATCATACATGATTCCATATGTTTCAAATCGTTGTTATTTAAAACAATGCTTCAAATAGTCCTCATCACTTTGACCAATCAACGTTTGGTTATTATGACGCTCTCAGTGTATTTTAATTAATAAATAATGTGGATAAAAAGCGAGATCAACTCTCATGTGTGATGCAATATTAACAAGACGACTGATGAAAAAAAAAGTATACATGTAAATCATAATCATAATTAAAACTATGAGAATACTAGGAAGACTAAATTTACTGTGATTAAACGTGTGATTTTCCTAGTGTCAGAAAAAAATTCCGATTTAACTGACATGTAAAACACTGTGGTGAATGAATATGATATAATTGATAATTGATGGTAAAGAAATTAATATTAGTTCTTCGAGAACGTTGACAATCAGTCAGTGGATGAGTCTAATGGATAAACACAAGTCAGTGGAATGAGGAGTCAGGAGATTAGATTAGCTAGGTTACTGGTAAACTAAATATCACCTGTTCGGCCGAACTACAATGGGATGGCGACGATGACAAGGACGGCAACGACGATGAACAAATGCGCAAATCATTCTGTCTTTCTGAGTGTTAATATTTATTGCTTAACTATGGATCTTTAGCTATGGATCTTTAAATATAAATTTGAAATTTAGAATTTTGCTTAAGATTTAAACAAAAATAATTTTAATATTATAATTTAGATTTTTTTATACCATCCAAATAAAAAATTTAAAATTTGTGAATTTTAAATGTAAAATTTTAATGTGAGATTTTAAATATAAATTCTTAACTCAAATTTATCCATCCAAATGCAATTTAAATTTGTTTTGCTATAATATTTTTTTTTCAATTTTTTAAAATATTACAACTTGGTCTTTACAACCAACAAAAATTAACTTTAATTATCAATTGATTAGAAAATGACCAAAAAATGACATAAAATTATTAAAAAAATACAGTAGATGACCTTGAAAACTACTCCTTCCAGCCTTATTTATAAAGCATATTCTATAAGTAATTTTCGTTCAAAATATAAAATATCTTATAATAATTAATCCACTCTTTCCAATTTTACCCCTCATTAATTAGCGTAAATGTATTTAATATAGTTATATTATTATTTAAAGTTGACGGTGAAAATGAAAGAACTTGTCACTTTTTTATGATATTAAAAAAAATTAAAATGCATGAAACAGCTAAAAGTATTTTATAATAAGAATCAGAAGGGAGTATAAGAAGTGATCAAGAAAAATTGTTTGATTTTTTTTTAATTTTGATATCATTTTCTAATCAACCAATTGTAAAAGTTAATTTTTTTGATTGAATGAAAAAGTTATTTTTTATTAACAATAAAAGTCAAATCACACTGTTTTTCAAAAACTAAGAGAGAATATTATATGAAAAATGAGCTTAGAGCCCCAGCATTACAAGATCCATAATTTACAAGCCAATTTGCTCCTTATAATATATGTGAAAATACATGAGTAAATTTGATTGATTGTTGTAATGTGTGTGTGATAATTATAAGAAGAATAGCAATCAAAAACCTTCATATAAAATTTATATCAATCAAGAATAAGTTGTTATCAAGACTTGAATGAAAAACAGGCTTGAATTGAATTATTATTAATTTAGAATTAGTTATTATTAAAATTTGAATAGATATTTGTTGATAAAAAACTAACTCAAGTCAACAAATATTTATTCAAGTTTTGATAACAACTAATCTTTAACTAATATAAATTTTATATAAAGGTTCTTGATTATTATTTTTTCATAATTCTATCTCCTATTTTCTCTAACACGTTAAAAATATTTATTTATTTACAACAAGAGGCACGTGCAAGGTGTTGTTTTGATTTAAAGTACCTGCAAAAAATTTATATATTATTTTTATTTATCAATAAGTAAGACACAATTTAAATTAATACTCTTGTGTGATATACTGCCCCCATTTTTTTTTTACAGAAGAAATTACTATATGTTCTAGTGTTTTTTATTATCAGCAATACAATAAATTTTAAGAAACACTTATTACATTATTTCCAAATTACCTCTCATAAATGGATGGTATCATTAAATTAGATAAAAAAAAACATTAATTATTAGAGCATTTTAGTCCAAATTTTTTAATTTCATACATAATTATTATAATTAATTAATTTTTTTTAAATTGCATGAGTTACCTAGTATTTACTTATATTTAAAAACAAATGGAGTGAGTTGTATGCAGATAAACATCTATTGCATTACAGGTCTTTCTTTTTCTTTTTATTAACTTCAAGTCTTTAATGTGTGGATAAACCAATGATTTTATATACAAAACATATGTCACTCTTCTATTGCTTTTTCACTCAATAACTAACAGAATTTAGATACATGGCCTATTCTTTTGACTTCGTTACAAGGTGTTGTAACCTCGTGAGGACTAGGCTTGGTATAAGTAAGGAAGATTTTTTATTAAAGTTAGCACGTGTGATAGAAATTCTCTTGCTTTAACAAGTGATTGAGGTTCAAATTCTAATTTTTGTGCATATAATAACTTTTTTTTGATGAAAAAGTTTATATAATGATTTAGTTCAGAAAAGTCAACTGGTTGTTCTCAACATCTTGAGAGAAATATTTTCTTTCATTAACAGGACCTACTTTTTATATTTGCCGAAAAAAAAGTAGTAAAGAGTTGATTACCAAAAAAAAAAGTACAAAAAAGAGTTAGGGTGGGGAGTGGCTTGAATTTTTTTCTGGCAAAACAATATTTAAATGAATTAGGCTTGAAGACTCATTGAGGTTAAAACATGCCAGATTCAAAAAGCATTTGCAAAATATTTATAAAATACTTATTAATAAAATTTTCACATTATCATAAAAAATCCAAGATACTTACCAGTTAGAAGGTGGCCTTAACATTTTTGAATGGAAAATTACCCGCCCGAAATATGCCCGAGTGACCCACACGCTACTATTTTTTTTTTTTAATTTGTTTTTAAAACTGATCAACTAAAACCCTAGAACCCAAACGTCACCACTGGTCCGTTGGCACTGGTTCGCGCGGCTCTGGAATTTGCAGGAGTTGTTTACAGCTTCAGCTTCAAACTCAACCATGGGTAAGAAACAACATGATACCGCCAGAGCCAGCGAGCCAGTAGCCGAGGAAGACCCAGACTACCGGGCGACCAAAGCAGAGAAGAAGAAGAAGAAGAAGAAGAAGAAAAATAAGCAAAACGAAGATAGTCCCAAAAGAAAGCTTGAGGAAGTTGAGGTCCAGGATAGCGCAGAACCGAAATCGAAGAAGAGTAAGAAGGATAAGAAGTCGAGAAAGAACGCGGAGAAAACCGTAGCTGACGTAACAGATGACGCCGAGAACGGCGGAGAGGATGAGTCGGTGAGAGACGAGCACGTGGTGGTTACTGGGAAGAATATTAAGGACGAGAAGTATACGCCTACGAGGACTTTTGCCGCATCAGGGCTTCCAAAGGAAGTATTGGAGTGCTGCAAAAGTTTTGAAAGGCCGTCCCCTATTCAGTCCCGGGCGTGGCCTTTCTTGTTGGATGGTCGTGATTTAATTGGCATTGCGGCTACCGGGTCAGGTATCAGTGATAGCTTGTTGGGTTGGAAGCTGAACGCGTGACTTAATCCTGCTTCTAACTTTGGTTTCTGCAATCAGGAAAAACATTAGCTTTTGGAATACCAGCTATGATGCATGTTTTGAGCAAGCGCAAGAATAAAGATTCAAAGGGTCGGAATCCTCTTTGCCTTGTGCTCTCTCCCACCAGGGAGCTGGCTCAACAAGTATGTATATGTTAATTCACAGGGTATTACTTGACCTTTCTTTGACCTCTTCATACAGAACTGGGCACATTAAGGAGGGTCCTTTCTACAAGGAGCCAAATACGAAGGCAGGGATAGCAACTAGTAGAAATAATTAAATAAAAAATTGATTTTGCGATGAAATCTCAGTCATATTGATGTTATATATCTCTATTGGGAGCGCTTATGAGTTGAGCAGAAGTGACTGTCGTTATTTAAGGAGTGACTTGGACTTAGAATCTTTCTATTAAATGGACCTACAGTTTACTTTTCTTTTTTAAACTCCATACTCTGTGCAATTTTCTCTGAATCTTTACAATTCTTAGTGTTTTACATTTTCCAAGCCCGCGGGGTTATTTCGCTAAAAGAGGTGAAAATATTTAGCTGACAGTTTCCTTTGACTATTTACAGATTTCAGATGTTATATGTGATGCTGGAAGGTCTTGTGGTGTGGAATCTATTTGTTTGTATGGTGGAACCTCCAAAGGGCCACAAATATCTTCATTAAAATCTGGAATTGTAAGTTGTTCAGATTTTCCCTTTTCTTTGAATGGTTTGCATGCTGATGCCACTTGCAGTCACATGGTCTTTTGCCTTATCTATATATTATGTTACCGTGTATGTTATGGTGACCCCTTTTTTGGTGTTTCTATTGACGTGCTGAAGTTGAACCAAATGCAAGGAATAGAAAGAGAGCAGGAGAGAGAAGGAAAAGGATGGAATATAGAAGAAAAAGGGGCGGAGGAGATGTAGAGAGAAATAGAGTGAGAAGGAGAAAAGGGTGAGGAGAGACAGAGAATGAACCAATATAATGTTATTAAAAGAATGCAATTGTTTTTTCTTTTCTTTTTTTTTTATACTTAGTAAGCAATTCATGGATGCGAAATCTCTGTAATTATTGGTTGTTATGTAAAAATGATGGCATCTATGCTTTTAGGCATCTTGGATGCCACCAGTCATTTGGGATACCAAATTCTTAAACACAGGCCTCTTGGATAGCAAGAGATATCCAAGGTGCTTAGTTGAAGAAGACAGGGTACAATGTGATCCTACATTGCACTTGTTAAAGTCTGTTTTCAGAAGCTCGTCCCCTCCTATTTAACACACTCTTCTTACTAATTATTTATTATTGATTCCTCTTACAGGACATTGTCATTGGAACTCCTGGTCGTATTACGGATCTAATTGAAATGGGTGTTTGTTCCCTGAAAGAGGTTTCTTTTGTGGTAAGCACTTCTGAAAAATGTTGGTGATCAGTTATCGTTTCTCAATGATTTTGTTGATAATTAATAAAAAATGCTGTTCTGTTCTGCCTCTTACTTGCTAAAGGCAGGTGTTGGAACTTGGTGGATTTTGAATTTACTTATCATATACTTCTCATATGAAATCTTGGCTGCTCTGGATGCACTTGGTTGGGGTTTGGCCATCTGATTATGTATTATGTTAGTAGGCTCATGCATAAATATCTATATATTGGCATGTACAGTTGTGTCTTAAATATATATTTATCTGAGTTCACTTTGTGTAAATCTTTAGGGTTTCTTCTACCCCATTTTTAATATTATTTTTCACGGGGTTTGGGGGGGATGAGTTCATGAATTAATATCTTGTTTATTGATGGAATTAGGCTCAGCTACTATTGTGGCCTCCCCCCCCCCTTTTTTCATTTTGAAGAGATTTTAGATCTGCTTTTACTGGGATGTGCACTGTCTCATCTTTAGAGTGGGAGGAACTGGATGGTCTGAAAATGAGTTACATGTATTGATTGACTTGCAAACATACGAATTTATTTTTCCTAGGTGCTTGATGAAGCAGATCGAATGCTTGACATGGGATTTGAGCAAGCAGTTCGCTCCATACTGGGTCAGACTTGTTCTGGTATGACATATTTTATCAATTACAGCTTCTTTTTCCACCCATAACTTACACTGTAGTTCCCTTTTCTGGTTCATCTTGCATTTTCTTACTTGTGTTCCTTTTTTGTTATTTATTTTTTGCTCAGAGAGGTGAGGCACAAATCATGTTTGTTAACATGTCATCTATCCTATGTTCATTTTTCATGCCTTCTAATATGGTTAATTTTTCTTCACACTTAATGTAAGGGGATGAGTTTTTTTAGTTTTGATCACATCAGCATGCTAACTAGCTGAGCTTGCAATGAGGTAGAAACCTTAATGCAGCATAATCTTTTCAGGGTAAATGAGAAATCCCTGTGCAACGTATTTTATTTGTCTTTCTTTTAGTGGCTAATACTTTCTATTGAGGTGGAAACCTTGCTCAATTGTATTGGATTCTCCATATTCCAGAAAGTGTAGCTATTTTAGATTGGTTCCAACTTTTATGATCAAGCTTAACACGTCAAAATCTATATTTTAAATATTTTTTATAGAAAATTAAATCCATAAAACCCTGGGTGACTATATTTTTAATTATATATTTTGTTTCTAATGTTAATTTAAATTTCAAATTTATTTTGATGAAATTTCTCTGAATTTTTAGTTCTGACCCTCCAGTGAGTTTCCTCATGATTTTAGTCATCTATTAATTATACTTACAATATCTTATCTAACAAAAAGATTATGTTCTGCTGCAGTTCGTCAAATGGTGATGTTCAGTGCTACATGGCCTCTACCAGTCCATCACTTAGCTCAAGAATTTATGGATCCTAACCCTGTGAAAGTCGGTATCTTTATTTCAATGGCTCCCACCCTTTCATTGTTATAGAATTTTGATTTTGAAGTTAGTGAAACTTGTGACAGGTTGTTGTAGGATCAGAGGACTTAGCTGCGAATCATGATGTTATGCAGATAGTTGAGGTGAAAATACTTCAAATATCTATATCTTCCTATTTTTTTATGTGTACATTTAGCATATACTCCATCTAGTCCAAACTATAAGCATTTCCCTTAAGCTAATCTTGGTTTAAAATATAAGCAACCTAGTACAAGTAAACAAATAATATCCCTATTTTACCTTTTGTATTTATTAACCTAGATCTTTGTGTAAATGTATCTTTCACTTATCATGGAGTGCATTAGTAATTAGGAATGGGGTAAAAAAGAAAAATAATATTTATTTTTAAGGGAATAAGAACTTTATTGGTATGCAGATTTTTTCTAAAAGCTGCTTACATTTGGATTGGGGAGAGTAATTAATTATTTATATATACTTTTTTACTTAAATAGGTCTTAGATGATCGTTCACGAGACAGACGCCTGGTAGCTTTGCTAGAAAAATACCACAAATCTCAGAGGTATGTGCTTTAACATTTTCTCTTGTGTTGAAAAAAATGCCTGTTGCTGTTAACTATACTTGTATTCAAGATAATAAATTTCAAATGAGCAAGCATAAAATTAATGAGAATCATAGACCTACTAGCTTTGAACTGAGAGTTGAAATGGTGAAGCCTCTAATGACTGAAGAACTTTTTAGATTTAGAATGTCAAGAACTTCTTACAAAACTGGAGTGGATAAGAACTATGATCAGCTGAGAAAATGATTTATACGGAGACAAATAGGAATAATTAACATTTAACATATGACAAACAAAATAACAAGTAAACAATGCAATGCAGTACAATGATGTGGTGAATTCTGGGACTTTGGAAGAAGATTGGGGTTATAATTTGGAGATAGAACTGAGATATTTATATAGATTTTGCTTAAACAACAGGATTATGGTCCTGTTTGGTTATTAGCAAGAATGGATTGAAAAAATTAAGACAAAAATGAATTAAATCATCCTTCTCCCCATAGTAAACATGGTAAAACTCATTAGCATGTATTACAAATGGGGGAATTATCGCACTCCCCAAAAATATCTTGAATTATGATTTCCAACCCCATAAACTAAATTACCACTTTTCTTTATGAATGTGTTTATCCATCCCCTTTGATCATCTTATTTTTATCTTTATTTTTTCAATCAATCCTATTTTATTCCATTTTAGCAAGCAAATCGGACCTATATGTCCTACTCCAAAGCAGGGCATTTGACATTTCCATTATTTAAAGAAAAAAAATCAGAATATAAAGTTACATCCTTGGTAACTGATAAGCCTTCTCCAAGTTTTCATACAGCGAGTCCACCAAGCGCTAGCTGTTAAAGAATTGACTTGCCCAGGTCATGGGTTTTAGAAGCATTTGCTATATGATTATAATTCTGTTGCATGAAAGGATGATGATATTTCAAAACATTATCAATCCTTTTCAATGTTGGTTCTGCCGTGTGTGTCTGACAGTTTGTGCCTTTTATCAGGAATAGAGTATTGGTTTTTGTCCTATACAAATTGGAAGCTTCACGAGTTGAAAAGATGCTTCATCAAGGGTGAATCTCTGATCATTGCTTCCCCCCCCCCCCCCCCTGCCTTCCCAAAAAAAAAAAACAGAGAAAAGAAAACAAATTTAAGTTAGGAGGTGAGTTGTTGTGGATGGCAACTATAGAAGGTGCTCATGTTCTGTCAAATAACATCCCAGGGGTTGGAAGGTTGTCTCAATACATGGGGATAAGGCACAATATGAACGTACAAAGGCACTATCATTATTCAAGAATGGAAGCTGTCCTTTGATGGTATGCTGCTTCATATCATTGTTTTAAATTTTACCAGTTCATTTACTCGAAAGTTTAATGAGACATAGTTTTTTTTTTTTTTTTTGTTCGGGCCAAATCAGACAGTTTTTTTGGTACTTTTCTATAACGTAGACTACTTTTTCTTCTCATCACTGATTATTATCTTTAACATATTCCCTGTAATTGCGATTTCTATAAATTGATTTTCTCCCAAGTTTTCTGCCCCTTTTAAGTCTCTAGCAGAATTCGCGATTTCTGTCCACAGGTTTTCTAGTGGATGAAAGTAACATCTGTTAAGAACTTTCTCTGGATCTATAAATCAGAAATGGTCACTCAGGCGTTCTCCCCTTATCCATTGCGTTATATGGACATTTATGTGATATCATAATTGAATGGGCAGATTGCCACTGATGTGGCTGCACGGGGATTGGATATTCCAGATGTTGAAGTGGTGATCAACTACAGTTTTCCTCTAACTACAGAAGATTATGTTCATAGAATTGGGAGGACAGGACGAGCCGGGAAGAAAGGTGTTTCCCATACGTTTTTCACGCAGCAGAATAAGGTAGGATTTCTTCTTTCAGCTATTTGAATTTTCTTATTCTCCTCTTTATTTCTATCATATAATTGGCATTTTTGTCCTTGAAATTGTTTTTGATTTTATGCTTTTGGTGGTCCTATTTCAGGGACTTGCTGGGGAGCTAGTGAATGTTTTAAAAGAAGCAAATCAAATTGTGCCTGATGCTCTTTTGAAGTTTGGCACGCACGTAAAGAAAAAGGTGTATTTTCTTAGGAAAATGATAGTTAATGATCAATAACTTATATTAATCATAGCCAAGGGTTTCGAAACATCAATTTTTTTTTTCAAGGATTATAAAAATAAGTTGTCATTGACGTTTCTTAAAATTATTATTTATACTCTCCATACTAAAAATTTGATTCTCTTGATGTTACAAAGAAGGAAGCTTTAAATTGATTACCTTTGTATTAAAACACTTTCAACACTGGAAAATCAGGTTGTATAAGAAGCATAATTAACAGAATTTGAAGAAAAATTAAAGGTAACTTATAACTGTGATTACTGAATAACGGTTTTAATTTTTAAAGATTTTAGCTGTTACTAGTACAATTTATGGATCCTCCTCGTCTATCATTTTTTAAAGGTTTTTCGTTGTGTTGATTACAAGTATACCATTCTCTGCTGTATATCAGGAGTCCAAGCTGTACGGAGCTCACTTCAAGGAGATTTCTGCTGATGCCCCAAAGTCAAAGAAGATCACATTTGACGACTCTGACGAAGATTAAATGTGCTGGTGACTTTTTTTAGGTATAAATTCAATTATTTGTTCTTGCAAAAGCAAAGAAGGAAACATGTATTGATCCATAATAGTGAGTGAGATGATAGTTCTGTATTGACGCCTAATATTCTCAGCATTTATTTTTTTTTTGTCCACTTCATTTTTTTTTTAAAGAAAAAAAAACTGGTTTTGTTCATCTAATTCTTCAGTTCCATTTCACCCCTTTGTAAAGGCGCTGTGCAATCACTGTGTAAACCTCAAATTTACCAGCGTTGGATTCCTTTGTGTAACAACTATGGTTGTGTTCTCTGGGACAACCATAGTTATATATATATGTATGTATGTATCAGTTCAGATTGAGTGATTGGGCTCTAGCAATTTGCACCGGAATTGCTGTACCAATTGTAATTTTTCTTCCTTGGAAATTTAAGAGGCAATTGATAACAGTTGCAGAGGCACGTCTAGCAATATATTGTGGAGCGACTGGCTGACGGAATAAACACCCAGTCAGTTTATCCGTACTATGTTTTTTTTTTTTGGGGGTCGTCGACAATTTAAACATGTCAATGCAAGGCATGCTTTTTTTCCCCTATAACTTCGTTTTTCGTATATATCTTTTTAAAATTTAGAGATTCGCTTAATCCGTGACCATGACTTATTAAAGTTATCATACACATTACATTAGTTCCGTTAACTGCATCTACACGTTTTCACACTCGAAGTTGCAATATTTTGATATCAATATAAAGTTAGGGGCATTCAACTTGTATTTGTTTTGATTGATTCGCTTTCATCTTGATTCAAAAATAATTGGTATGAGATTCAGGACAAGTAAGAGATTTGGGATGGATAAGAGATGTGATTGTCCTTAGGATGTTCTGTCCTATTCCAAAAATTATATATATATATACACATATATTATTTTTATTTTTTATTTTTAAATATATATTAAATATATTAAATATATTAATATAATTTATATTTATATCAATTGTAATTTTAACATATGTAATTTTTATTTAAAATTAAATTTTTTATATTGATAATTTTAATGAGATATACTTATAGAGTAAGCGGTATATGGTAATATTTTTTTTATAATATATTAATTATACTGATACAATTTATTTTTGTATCTATTTATTTAATAACTTTTGTTCATATCATATTTGTTACTTTATTTTCATATCTCAATTAAAGAAGAAAATCAATGACATGATATTGCATTTGACTTGTTTGTCGCTATTGCTCTTATAATTTAGAGATCACTTGTAGTTGCTATTATAATGTGTTATATATTTATAGTTGTGATTAATGTAATTCAATAATTAATTTTGAATTGTTATAATTTATGTACTCATTGTTTTAATTTTAAACTTAATAAATCATGTGATTTAAATTTTTAATGAATGTTATTATCTAGACTTTTCTCTCATTTTGTCCAATTTATTGAGATGTTGGGACTTTCGATTCTCGCTTCAGTCCTGTCCTAATCCCTAACAGGATGGGACGACTCGAGATGAAACAGGACATGAGACCAAAATTTAGTCCTGATCTTTTTTTAGGATAGGGGTGTCCTAATCCTGTCCCGTGGACATTTTTATATAAAATGAAAAGGCAAATGTTTGCAATAAAATGCATAAACAAGTGGCAGGTGCTTCTAAGTTGGGCGCCAATGAATTGTTGTTAATCTGATCTAGCATGAACTTGATAAGTTTGAGTGAAATAAGACACTTTCTGAGTCAGTTCTTGGTTTAGACAGGCTGTATTAGTGGAAGTTACTCGAGCAAAGAAGATATCAAGACCTACTAAAAGAAATCAGGACATGCCAATGCAGAACAAAGGTTTGATTTGGATGAAATATTTGAAACATCATTTTTTGACGGTGGTTCACGACCAAGTGCTAGTTATTTTATTGATGTAAGAAGGTTGGTACCACTTGTTGCATGATAATGTAATTAATTTTGGATCCAAATGCTTTATAGTTCAGAACTTTGGCGCCAAGCTCCACCAAGTTTCCTTAGCTTAGCTTTGAGGGACGACACAAGAAACAGACAAGACTACAATATTGAGGTTGAGGATTGCCTGCATGTCACCCATGTGGCGCATATCTCTTGATGGCGGCCACGTGGCTTCCCAGAAGAAACCCCTTTGTTCCTTCTCCTTCCTGTTCGTGGTTCATCTGACTAACCCATTATGCATTATATATGCATATATGAGGGGCTCGAGGGACCAAAGGAAAATAAAAAAGTTGTTAAACTTGAAAGCTGGAAAACCAGACCATTTAGCATTAGCTAGAAGGTAGCCTTCTAGTACATCGGCCAAGTCATCTGGTTGAAAGAGGCTCTCATAATAAAAAGTGAGCTCTCTCTCTGTCTCTCTCCCTCCCTCCAAATTAACGTTGGGCATCACCGGTATTAAAAGTTAAAACAAAAATGCAACTCATTTCTTTAAATATTATATAAATTATTTATAATTATCATGTCTTGAATATGATTGTTTTCAATAAAAAAATATTATATGGATCACTAAAGTTGAATGAATATATGCAGCTGTAATGCTTATTTATACACATCACCTTTGCTCCAAGCCTGGCCAAACACCAATATGGAAGAAAAATTAATGTTCATAAAAATTAATTTGTCATTCTTTTAATGCAAATACTCAGATTTGTTAGACAAAGAGAGAACTTCCCATGGGATGTGAAATTGTGAATACAATGAATCATCGTTGATCAATGCCGTATCATCATTTTTCACAATGACACATCCTATACGGTGGTTGGGAAAGGACTTTTTGTGTGTGGAGTATCAATATCATATATCTACTCTTCATTAAGTTGAGAGGATTTAATGAGAGTTTATGCTAATTTGAATCGAGTTGGGACGTTATTTTTGAAAACTCTACCCTGTCAATGCCACTACATTTTCAGTGCTTAAACTTAGAATTTTAATTAGACAAGTACAACTCTGTTCCATTAGCATTATTATCCCCGTTGATGGATACTCGCAGGTTGTGTCTGATAAATGCCGCGTGACTCCCACTCTCTGGAAAGCCGCGTGGATGGTTGTCTGGCGTCATGGGCGGTGAGATTGCTCCAATCAGGGGGCTCTGACTCGGCATGTCTTTTTCGCCGTGTCCTTTACTTCTCCAATCCTCATCTCCTCCATCTCGCTCGCTCGCTCCTGCGTCCACAAGTTGACATGCAAGAAGACATATACCAGCAGTCCAATTCTGGCCCCTCCACCAAAAAAAAAAAAAAAAAAAACCAATAGTCCAATATTCCTAATACTAGATGCACAGAATAATTGCCAACTTGAATTTATTATTCATGTTTTTGAAAGCAAAATTTCAGTTAGGATATCTTGACCCAACTTCATTTCAGTTAAACTTTTAAAATTATAAAATTTCAATGATTAAAATAACTTCATTATTTTTGGTGTGAACTAGATTCATGAACAACTCATATAAAAATTAACAATTAAAAAATAAAAAAATAAATAACTAATATAGGTAAAATTTACAATTTTAATTAATAATACAACATCATTATAAATTTGTAACCCTCATTCATCATTTCACCTACATTATTTGCTTTTTAACACGAGTTATTTAGGCTCCTAGCTTCATTTGTTAATATTCATAATAGTGTTATATTATTAATGAAAATTACAAATTTCACCTATGCCACTTGTTCATTTTCTATACATTAATAGGTAATTTTTCTACATAAGTTATTTATGTGCTTAATTTCATCGAGACAATAAAAATTTTTAATTATTCTTTAATTTCATTTCAGTCCCTCACGTGTTTGAAATTTAAAATTTTAAAGGCTTTGACTAAATTTTTTCCTTTTGTTTTGAAACCATGAATTTGCTTAATATTTTTAATTCATTAATATAACATATTATTCATTCAATTCCTCCTATTTATATCTATATATAATATAAAAAATAAAAATGATACAACTCATTTTTCATCACAAAACAAAATTGGGATGAAACAAACAATTTCGATCTCATTAATTTTAAACTGTCATGCTCCTATCCAAACTCTCATTCATTCACTTATACAAGTTGCCAAATCATCCTCTTCAAAATAAAGTATGTGCTGACCTACGTTTATTTTATTTTTTATATTTTACACTGATAATGAGAATTTTAAGAAGTATGTATATTAATTCATTCTTCAAATTAGATGTGCGCTCTTATCTATATATATATAATATATATATATATGTATATATCTATATATATGTATATGTAAAGTGTGAGAATGAGCTAGTATTGTTAATATTTTATTAATTATGTGAATTATATATGATGTCATATATCAATATTAATTTGAAATTATTTTTATTGTTTAGAATCAATTATTAAGTGTGCCTGTGCTTTCACTCATTGAACGATGCTGTCCTTGGTTTTTCAAAACAAAAAATCTTCCATGCATTGCCGTCTTCTTCGTCCTTTTCTTCTTATTTACAGTGTTTTAATATTCGTTCCAAGGCTCACAAGACACCAACACATACAAGAATCTCACTCAGCAAACCAAACTCCTTACGCAAATTCCAGTAAACAACCCCCCGGTCTCTCTCTCTCTCTCTTCTCTCTCTCTGGGTTTCAGAGAAACCAAAACTAATCTTCAGGGTAACAGCACCAAGATCAAAAAGATCACCCCTTTATTTGGGGTATTGGAATTTTGAGTTCTAAAACAATGGTGGGTATATTCTCAAGGTTCTCTGTCGGAAGAAGTATTCATCGACGCACTCAAAGCGCCCTCGTAAGAGTTTCTCTCTCCTCTCAATATTTCCTCAATTCCACGATTTGTTCATGTTTCAGTTAATAACGCAGTAGCCTTCTTCTGACTATTCTAATTCGTTGAAGAGGTTATTGTTACTCCCTGTTTGATTTTTTGCCGTTAGAATTTGCAGCTTTTTGTGAGTGTTTAATACCAAAGAATACGATATTAGTATGCTTCTGTTTTGCAAATGGATTTGTTCTGATCGTTTGACTTGCTTGTATTGTACTGGGTCCAAAGTTTTTGATGCATTTTTACACATACTTTGAATGATTTTTATGAAAGTAGTGACTATTATTATCTATTAGTTCATCTTCTTGATTCTGTATACTAGATATAGCTTTATGTTATTTTCGACATTAGAATTTAGTTATGTACCTGTATTTTTTTTACTGTGCAGGATCAGAGGGAAATGTTACCTCCAATTTCAGAGGTTGCCATTTCAACAGGTTCTGTCACTGCAGGTTCTCATGGAATTGAAGTAGCGGTAGAGTTCAAGCCTGTTGAACACCCAATTGAACCCTTTGATAATGACAGACCAATTCAGTGTCCGTTGCCTGAAC